GGGGGGGTGGTCAGGTGGGCTCTCCTCATCCTCCAGAAAATCCAAGCACCTCTACAGCTGAGCTGTTGATGAGCAGTGGAGCGTGGTTAGGACGGTTCTTCCTGAAGTCCACCATGATCTCCTTGGTCTTCTCCACCTTCAGGATCAGGCTGTTATCTCTGCTCCACCAGCTGCTCCACCTCCTCTCTGTAGTCCAGGTCGTTGTCGTCTCTGATGAGGCCCACCACCGTGGTGTCGTCTGCAAACTTCACCATGTGATTGGTGGTGAACCTGGGGACGCAGTCGTGTGTTATCAGGGTGAACAGCAGGGGCTCAGGACGCAGGCCTGAGGGGAGGGGCTTAGACTGATGACATCAGAGGTGTTCTGTCTGACCCGGACTGACTGAGGTCTGTTGGTGAGGAAGTCTAGCAGCCAATAGCAGAGGGGTGTATTGAATCCCAGCTGTTCCAGTTTGCCCATCAGATGCTGTGGGATGATGGTGTTGAAAGCTGAACTGAAGTCCAGGAACAGCATCCGCATGTGGGTGTCCTTCTCCTACAGGTGTGCCAGGCTCAGGTGAAGAGCAGCAGAGATGGCGTCCTCAGTGGAGCGGTCAGGTTAAAGATGTCAGTGAGGACACCAGCCAGCTGATCTGCACACTCCTTATACACCTGCCCAGGTATGTTATCAGGCCCTGGGGCAAGAAGGTCACAAAGCAAAACAAAATGAAAGCATTTAAGGTCTCACTTCCTCCCCCTGCCCCTCCTGTTCTCTGCATTTCTCCACCACTGACCCTCTGACCCTCCCAGTGTTTTGCTCCCACAGCAGGTTGTGACTGGAGGCTTTTCCTCTGCTGCCTCTCAGCGGTTCTGATTTCATATCTGAGGGCTCCACAGACTTTGACCAACGTTAAAACAGGCCTAAAAAAACTTTATAGTGATTTTATTGATCTTCATTTAAAATCATTTGTCCTTTTTTATAACTATTATATTTTAGTTTAGTTCTACAGATCCAATTTATAACACGTAATCTCAGGTCATTTTACAGAGATAATAGATCAAATGCTCAGATCTGTTCAATGTTTATAATGCTTGCTTATTATCATAAATATGCCACTTTAAACTCATCATTTTAAATTCCATTTTTTGTTATCTTTGAATGGCCCTGATATGACGTCATAGATTGAAGGAACACAAACAGAAGAAGAAAAAAAATGGGAAATGGTCCTTTATTCGTTCTGAGGCCAAATCAGGCTTCATTATCACCTCGGGATTAACTAATGTCTATAATCTGGGTTATGAACGGCCGTTTGTCCGCTCACAGCACTGCTAACAGGGTGATAAAAGGTGAACATCCGGCCAGTGGCGCTTTATTTTGAAATGCCCACTGAAAGCGTTTGTTTCCGGTCAGCAGGTCGGCTCTCAGCCAATAAGAACACAGCTGCAACCCGGAAACGAGGCTAGAGCTTAAAAAAAAGGCGCCTGGTCAAAACAGGGGGGAAGCTGCAGGTAAGCTCGGTTCTTTTCTTAGATATAATAATAATGGCAACATTTCCAGGCTGTTGCCATGGCAGCAACATGGCGGCTTGGTGACGCAGCTTCTGATTGTCGCGTTTTTTCCTGAGGCTTTGACAGAAATGTGCGCTACATGCAGAGATGGGCAGAGTAGCACTACGTCATCATGTGTTTTCTCAACCAAAAGTAAAAATGTTACTAAAGTACTGAGGAACTGATGTTCTTACTTCCCATGATCATAACTGATTAACAGGGTTTTC